GCCCACTGCCTTAACTCAATACGTCGCGTTGAAGTTCTTCTATGTTAAATGAGCCTGTGAGCAAATCATCCATATAAAAATCTCAAAGGATAACAGATGCAGCCTTGTCATAACGTCCTACAGCTTCCTAAGCGGACTGTTGAAGGGGCTTCGCAGCTAGATGTGATGCTGTAGATACACCGTACGTTACCCGCAATATGCGATAATATTTAATAGGAAGTTGTGGGTCTGAGCGCCACACATGACATTGGAGATCAGTGCGCGCCTTTAAAACGTATACTTGTCTATATATTTTCGCCACATCTGCATTAAGAGCGGTACCGATGCATTCTGAACCTTATTAGGATTGAGAACAGTGTAGGTTGTAACTGAGGCCCAACCATCAAGGCGTTGATTAAGGAGTAGCCTGTTGCTGTTTTCGCGGATGCATTTAACACTACCCTTAATTTTGTTGTAACATACGTGATTCACATAACGGTATGTTTGATTTTAGCGGGAGTTTTACAATAAAACTGCCATCTGAGGCACGATGGTGGTTGGAGTCGAAGTGATCTTCGCAATATTTCTCTTCCGTCGTTAGGAACTTTTTCCAGGAGCTTCTTCTAACTCCCACCATTTGCATAGCGTATCCGTTAACTGAATATCGCTGTGGATGGTTAGCGTATTCCGAAGAGCGTGTAGAGATTCATCCACCTGACCGAATAGTGTCCCGCCAAAAACTGTGTTTTGCACTATAGGCAAACCTGGAGGGCCCTTCCGAACTTCCGGTATGATAAATTTGTCCATTTTATCTACACCAATGAGGATATCTATGGAGTGTGATTTCATAATTTGCGAATCAGCCAGCGACAAATCATGTAAGTGTAGCCAATCAACAACAGGAACATTGCTAGTTGGCAGGTCGTTTGAAACTTTACAAAGAATGAAAGCATTTAGTTTAAGAATTTGCGGTGACGACTTAGATGCTAAACTATGCGATACTTCACCTTTAGTTCGCCCACCGTTACCAGAACCGATTCCTGTTACGATTACCGACGACGATCCTCTTTTTTTGGGGGTTTTGGGTAGGTTGGCCGGTTTATAGAATACCACCGCCAGGTTATTCCTCTGCTTTCAAAATATATCTCTCCGGGCCGGTAACTCAATGTCTGGTTATCACTACTTGCCGGTTAAACATCATTATCGACGTTTTCGACATCATCTATATAACATGTGATCGATAAAGCAGTCGTTGTATTTAACCGGAGCTTCTACCTCCGATTTGTGCTAATCAGACATCGAACAACCGGCCCTTAGGGCCGGTTACTCAATATCTGGTTAACACTAATCTGCGGTTAAACATCGTTATCGACGTCTTCGACTCCATGCATACAACAGGGAGTCGGTAACGTCGATAACGATGTTTAACCGGAGATTAGTGTTAACCAGACATTGAGTACCCGGCCCTTAGTATGTTATCTTCCAAATGCTGTGTCCAAACATTGCTCCACTGATACACCTATGGTAATACGTGGTACGTCTTAGGGCCGGTTACTCAATATCTGGTTAACACTAATCTGCGGTTAAACATCGTTATCGACGTCTTCGACTCCATGCATACAACAGGGAGTCGGTAACGTCGATAACGATGCTTAACCGGAGATTAGTGTTAACCAGACATTGAGTACCCGGCCCTTAATGTCAAAATGATGTGTTTGTTGTAAAATGAATTCGCCTTGTTTACAACAAACACATAATTTTGACATTCAGTAGTACCGCGGCGAAAATTTAATTCGCCATCAACACCACCTTGTATAAATTCGCCTTGGTAATACCGCTAAGGGCCAGAACCACGCGCACAAGTTTCTGTTTATATTTGCATCATGCGTCTTATTATTTTTAATTCTTTATTTTTCATTAAGGGCCGTTGTCTCAAGTAACCTATAACTTTAAAGCTCACTTCATATTTAAAAGTAGCATTAAAATTTATGATTGTATCTAAAGTAAAGCATTTTATTATCGGTTTTAAATTGGTTTACAACCAAGAAACATATCCCCCTCAAAAAGCCTGACCTATGATTTTCGGTTAAATTAGTGGGAAAACTGACTAAAACTTTTCGTCAGTTTAGAGGTTAGTTTTGTATGGGCTTGGGGAAAAAAGTGACCATTTCTCCGGGAGTGTGATAGTGCATCCCTTTCTTGCATACACATGGGCGCATTTACCTTACAGTATGTTCACTCGCTCACACATGTCATCTAGTTGGTGATGTACAAGTGAGTTTAGCGATGAAACTATTGGGAAAATATCGCGATAATTAGTGACATTTCTGACCACTATTCTAACCTCGGGAAATGCTTTGTTATTGGCCCACCGTTTTTGGGGTGGGGGGCGGAGGGGGAGGAGGCGGGGCCCCCCCAAACCCCCCTCATTCGAAAGGGGACAGTCGCCACTTTACGAAAAGCCCCATCCCCCCCTTGGGGACCTCCCACAGACCCCTAGGGAACCGTTTGAAAATGGGGTAAAAACGTAATTTTCCGAGGCAAACTGAGCAGTTTCAAGTGGAATATAACCCAACTAACGAAAAACGTGGGATTTTTAAATAAAAGAAATTATCCCAAGTTGGTTATCAGGCGATTTGAAAAAAAAATGATGGGCAAAAAATTAACTAACAATATTGTGAAATTAAGAAAAAAGCGACAGATAGAAATGTTCGGCCGCACTTAGGGATTATAACCCTCACTACGTAGAATTCTCTTCTGTGTTGCCAAAGAAAGGGGGTTGAACACCTTTTGCAGAGAACACCTTTCTGCGTAGGCGGCCTTCGGCCGCACTTAGGGATTAT